CCCGTCACATAAAATTATGGCTTTCCGGGACTTGGGTTAGTCGGATTTTGATACTTTCTGCTTGTCTTTTTTACGTTTATCCTGGTTTATAAGCTCCAATTTGAGTGAACCTTTGCCATCCGAAGGTGAAATATTTGTCTTTTGAACGAGTCATTTCGATACTTGAATGTTTCCAAATCAGAATGTCGAGTTTTTCACTATGCCCACCAGAAAAGGAAAGTTCAATCTCTACCACTTCAATTCTGTTTACATTAGGTAGAAATCAGGTTGCCGTTGGAATAAAGCTGGAGAAATCAAATTTTCACAAAAGCCAAATGGATTCCTACGTTTTAATCTTCTTAAAAATCGAAGTAAATCAAAAAATGGAAAAATACCATTCCAGGCGTTCCGGCTGTCGCGTTGAGCCAAGAAGTACCAGCTACAACCGACTCACCGACAAATTGTCGTCTGAAATGGCATTATTTTTTTGAAAGATTGTGGAATTTTTTTTTGGAATACAGAATTGGAATAATTTTTACACCGTTTGAGTGTCATAGTCAAACACGCAATGCGCCGCTGTCAGCACCCAGTCATAGTCGATGATCGAGCCGCCGCACGAAGCGAACCCAGAATGCTGGCTAAAATTCACAAGATGACAAATTAAACCAAAAACTAGCGTACTCTTTTTGCATCGACACCATATACCGATGGATGTCAGTGCTTCGGGTCCATCCACGAATTATTGAGCTCTAGAGCTTAGCTTGGAAATGGACCTTTAGCTCTACCTCTGTGTAGCCACCACTCAAATCTGGGAACTCGTGAGCTAGCACGAACACTAGAGGTAAAAAGCCCTTAAAAAAGTACCCATTAAGTTATTAAAAGTTGCGGTTATACCAGAAAAGGTAGGTCTAGAAACATTGAACCAAATAGTAGATTTTCAAGACATGCGTTTGTCCGTACGGGTCTCTGAATTTTAAACACGTACAAATCGATTCTGGTGCGACAAAACCGTGTTGCACTTAAAATACACCTCTGCTTAAAATAAGCCTTCGCTAGTTCATAAAATTGAAAAAGCAATAACAGATTGTCATGAGTAACACCGTTTGTGCCCCCAATAGTTTCCAAACTAACACTAATGACAATGAAATCACATATTTATTCTAATCGCGTATAGTGTTTCAGGTATCGCCACGGGTTAGTGATCATGGCAAAAATTCGTTCCGGTCGTCTGAGCGATCCAGTCGCAGTAGGGGCCGATCAGGCCGGAGGAACCTGAAGCGAAAGTTACTAGGTATCACATTCAACACTTACTCCAAGCAACGGACGATTGGAAGTTGCAAGCGCGGCCATCATCCGGGATCACCCCAAGTTGTACCCATTCGTATTGGCCAGGGAAGAGCTCCATCTTTGAGATAATCGGACCGCCATCATCGCCCTAGAAAAATTCTGATCTGAACAAGCGAGCAACAGAGAGAGAGAGAGAGAGAGAGAGAGAGAGAGAGAGAGAGGAGAGAGGGAGAGAGAGAGAGAAGAGAGAGAGAGAGAGAGAGAGAGAGAGAGAGAGAGAGAGAGAGAGAGAGAGAGAGAGAGGATACCCTCACCGCGCAATGCCCCGAGCCAGAGGGATTTGCAATACAAAATACGAATTCGGGCTTCTTGCAGGGTTCGTAGAGTTTTGTGGTGTAGCCGCGCAAAAATTGTGCATTTTCGCCTGGAAGAATCTGGATTTCAAAAAACCTGTGGCCTTTCACGTTATCCCCTAGATGTTCTTTGAATTCTTTTCGTCTATTTACCACTTCAACCCTATTCCTCACCTCCAGGCGTCATCTTGCCCCAGCCAAGCACCTCGACGTCTCCCGCTTTCTCCAATGGCAGCTTTTTCCAAAGATGAATTTTCGCGATCCCACGTGATTGCAAAGGCTTTACTAACTGGAAATTAAAATGCTTTTAGAAACACAGAAAAACGTAAAGTACTTCGATGAGTGCCAAATCATACGGATGTTCCTTGCGATCCGGACGTGTGTAGTGCGGACTGGCATATGCAGTTTTGATCCAGGCTTTTTGCTAAAGTCGAATTAGCGAGTACCTTCAATTTGGAATCAATTAAAATCAAAAATTAAAGAGGTCAAGCTTACCGCGCCTGGTTCCGGAGATCCGCTCGGACCAAGTCGAGCTGTACCGACCACCACCATCTCACCTTTCAGGTTTCTTCTGAAAAACTCGTTGAAATACAATTTTTCTATGTTTCTACAGGTGTTTTCTATACCTACATTTCGCTCCTGTTCTCCGGTTTCGTAACGCAATGAGAAGCAGTCAATATCCAGCTATGGCCGAGGATCGTCCCGCCGCAGTAATGCGCAAAAGTGCGACCGCTGTTAAAGGAAGATATCAAGTTGAGTAACTTTTCAACTTCTCAACAGCCTCTTGCTCTCATCTCATAGATGCTCAATGTCGCATAGAGACAACAACTTACCCCGTTGTGGTCGGCTTTTGAAGTGAAGCCATAAAGCGATAGTTGTCAATTTCACGAAGGAGCCCATTGGCTATCTTGATATTCCGCTAAAAATAAATGACAAATGAGATCCAAAAGCCCGAAAATCTACGATTTTACATCTGGTAAAGAAGTGGCATTCGGGGACTTATCGATTAATTCGTTGTCCTGTCAAAAAAATATTCATGCTTTCATCAAAACTTACCTGCAAACCAGAAACTAAGCTGATCAAGACGAGCAAGTAAAGCAAGGCCATTTTTTCGAGTTTCAAAAAGATTATACTGGATTTTACGAATGCGATTGAGACCAGCGATTTTCCGCGACAGCCTGCTGCTTTTGAAAAGACCTCGCGAAGACGATCTTCAATGCGGAAAATTTCGGGCATGCAATGAATGTACATTTGACATTGTGATTTCTCCAAAAAACGGGCGCTTTATTCTTTCAAGTTCTAACTCTATTTCCCTTCTGGCTCGTGATCGAGGCAAAAATTCGAGCCGGTCGTCCGGATGATCCAATTGCAATACGGGCCGATGAGACCGGAATAACCTAAAAAAAGAAGAGATCGGGGATGTTCTTTAGAACCAACTCCAAGGTACGGCCACATAGTCACACGGTAATGGATGAGAATCGTGTCCCGTAACGACACCGAGCTGGACGTATTCTCGCTTTCCGGGAAACAACTCCATCTTGGCAAAAATAGGACCACCGGAATCACCCTGAAGAATTAGTAGCGTTGAAAATGTGTAAGATACACCACATGGTCCCTTGCCATCAGCACTTGAAAAGCAGAACATAAATTCTGGTACATCGCAGGGTTCATAGAGAGTAGCTTTGTAGCCTCGGAGGAAATTTGGTGTTGCTCCGGATCCTGAATCGTGCTTTGGAGCAGGGTTTCTACGACGAAACCACGGTTTTTTTTGTCAGATTTTTAAGGTAAGTCAGGATCGTCAAAACAAACCATACTGTTTTTACTGCATGCTGTATCGCTAGGCTATTTTCGACATCAAAAATGCTTTCACAAGGTAAAAAAAAGATAAGAAATTGTACCATCTTTCGTCATCTTTCCCCATCCGACTACCTCCATCTCATCCACCCTCCTAATCGGCAAGTTTCGCCACAAATTCATCTTTGTGATCCCTCGAGGTTTCAGTGGGGTGGCCAACTTAATGATATATTACGTATGCCACCTTCACGAAAAAGCCAGCTTTTACCTCAACAAGTGCCAGGTCGTAGAGCCGGTCCTTCACCTTCACGTGCACCCAATTCGGGCTAGGGTACGCCTTCTTGAGCTTGACTTTTTGCTAAAAAGAGCGTGAGGTCTTGAGCAGACATTTAGATTAGTAGGCTACCGCCCAGGCATCAGGTGATCCGGTCGGGCCAAGTCGTGCAGTGCCAACTACAGCGATGTCGTTGCTGATGTCTCTCCTGAACTAAGGATTATCGTTAATCGGGATTGCAGTCTTTACTTTAAAACACTTCTTTACGATTTTTGTTACTTGATCACGATCAAGAACCTACAAAGCGCTATGATTATTCTTGACTGTCACGCAATGTGCAGCTGTCAGTAGCCAGCTGTAGCCAAGGATCGAAGCTCCGCAGTAATGCGCGTAGTTTCCTTTTCTAAAATATTTGCTGCATTTTTTTGCTTAGCAAAGGAGATGGCTCAAGGGCGTAGCAACAAGGCCATTGTATAGTGGCCGGCAGCTAGTGTGCTCACTTTGTAGCTGAAGGCCATTGTAAGGAGGCAATGAAACGGTAGTTGTCGATGTCTCGAAGATCACCATCGACTATTTTGATGTTGCGCTGAAACTAATAGGCGAAAAATAAGGAAAACTTACCTTGGGTGCAGAACTGGCATTTGAGGAGAGCTCCGTGAATTCGAACGTCTGAGGCGAGGTCATTAAAAGGTCTACGAAAGTACCTACCTCTACCGTTGATAGCGCAAATGTCGTCAAAATCAAGGTAGAAAGCTTTTCTCGCATTTTAAGAAAAAAAAATGCTGCCTTTCGGAACTGGCGCCGATCAATTCGAATATTGGAAACCTGCGTATATTTAGACACAACAGCGCCGCGGCGGATCAAATAAAATATGTCGATCGTTTCATGGATGTATTTAAATTGGTGCATATATCTTTAATTTTATTTTATTCAGACGCTAGCATCGCCGCGGTCCATCAAATAAAATATATCCTTCGTGTTTTAGTTCTTATAGTTGAATTCGTTACAACTGACCGTCAGCCAAGCTTGTGGGGACATTGGGTCCCTTGTAGTTACCAGCCATCCTGCATCCCACGTATCAATACGTATAGCGGCTAGGTATCAACGGCCATTTTGTTGCAGCAGATAAATGTGGGGGCAGTATCGATTATTTTCCCCTGCATTGGTTCATATCTGCACCGACTCCATTTTTCTTTGCTATTCGGCGTTTACCAAATTATTACTGGACTGCCGTTTGTCTTCGCTAGGCTAGGGTTGTTATACGAGTTGATTCGGCAGCGAGTTGATTCGAATAAGCCCCGATTCGCATCCGGCGAATGGAAATTTCAACGATTCAATTCGCCAGCGAGTTGATTCGAATCGCGATTTGATTCGCGGCTAATTTGATTCGTTGCTAATGAATCCGCAGCCAAACGAATCAATTCGCTGACGAGTCGATTCGTCAGACGAGTTGATTCGTTGGCGAATCGATTCGTTGCCCACGAATCAGAATCGAAACGAATCGATTCGTCAACGAGTTGATTCGTTTGCCGTTCTGACTCGTCGGAAGTTGTTATATGTTAATGAAAAACGCTATGTAAATAAAAAAACAGCCTTTTTGGGTGTCTTTCGGGGTGCTGTTTGGGGTGCTTTTCGGCAACGCCAATTTATGAACTAGGCCATCTACTTGGCTGGCTTGGCTGAACTTGGCCAAATCAGAAGATGAACCTAGTTTTCGAGCAGTTCGCACAAATCGACGTCAAACCGCTCGCAACTCATTTGGGGGTCGTTTGGTAGCATTCCTTCGAGGTTGTTGAAGGCGGCGGACAATTTCGAGACGTTTTTTTCTATCCGCCCTAGCAGGCTGGGCAAAGCTGTTCAAAAACTGAAACTCTTTGGACAGGTAGAATTTTTCTTCTTCTTTCGAATGGTGTCCTCCGTAATCCAGAATACGCCGTGCAGATGGAGATATGATGGTTTTAGTGCAGCGACAACTTCGTCAGGTACGCCTTTCGGCACTAAAACGCCCCCTTCTCTGTTCCCCGACAGCTTTGAATAAGGGCAAGTATACCGTTGGAAAGAGCGTTCAAAATGCAAAAATCTAAACGCCTTGAAGCAATCTGATTAAGCTTCGCTAAGCTGCTAGGGCGGATAGAGAAAAACGTCTCGAAATTGTCCGCCGCCTTCAACAACCTCGAAGGCATGCTACCAAACGACCCCCAAATGAGTTGCGAGCGGTTTGGCGTTGATTTGTGCGAACTGCTCGAAGACGAGGTTCATCTTCTGATTTGGCCAAGTTCAGCCAAGCCAGCCAAGTAGATGGCCTAGTTCATAAATTGGCGTGCCGAAAAGCACCCCAAACAGCACCCTGAAAGACACCCCAAAAGCCACCGGATGATTTCTGATTTACATAGCGTTTTTCATTAACATATAACAACTTCCGACGAGTCAGAACGGCAAACGAATCAACTCGTTGACGAATCGATTCGTTTCGATTCCGATTCGTGGGCAACGAATCGATTCGCCAACGAATCAACTCGTCTGACGAATCGACTCGTCAGCGAATCGATTCGTTTTGATTCGGATTCGTTCCCAACGAGTCAAATTCGCCACGAGTCAAATCGCGATTCGAATCAACTCGCTGGCGAATTGAATCGACGTAATTTCCATTCGCCGGATCGAATCGGGGCTTATTCGAATCAACTCGCTGCCGAATCAACTCATTGAATCCGACGAATCAATTCGTCAACGAATCAACTCGTATAACAACCCTACGCTAGGCTCTATAAGCACTTTTTGCCCCCTTTCCCTTATTTTGTGTTTGCGCTGGATTGTTGATATTAACGACCGATTTTAGATGGATGAGGACGCGTTACCTGAGAGAACACTACTTAATTCCGGAGCTTTCGGAGACGTGTACAAGCTGAATCGCTATTTTCCGTAAAACAGAAGCACATATCGTTAAAGCTTTGCTTTTCAGACCGGCCGTTGTCAAGGAATTGCGCTGTGGCACCGAGGTCGAGTACCTCAATGAGAACCGTGTCCTGAAAATGCTAGCCCACGATAATATCGTTAATTATATTGAGCCACCGGATGGCTATGTTCACCATCGGCCCGATCGATACCTGATCTATATGGAATATTGTGATTATGGCGCGCTCGATGACCGTGAGTTAACAGGTTTTCGATAATTTTTATCTATTTTACAGTCCTGGTGAAGCCCGAGCTGTTGTATTCGGTATCGACAATTTCGACGTGGACGGAGGACCTCTTCAAAGCCCTACACTATTTGAAGCAGAATAACATTGTTCATTGCGACATCAAGCCGGCAAAGTGGGAGTCTTGTTCAGCTCAAAAACACCCCCTCTAATTCGACGCGGAAGTATCTGATTGCAATGATAGTTGCACCATTCAAAAGCCCTTCAACGGCGAGTTGCGACAATTTAAAATCTCAAAATTCTTATTTAAACCTGTTTATTACGAGGCATTTTTAAAATTTTGCAATTTTGCGAGGATGTAATTTTTCTCTGATTTGCCTCAATTTCTCTAAGCAAAATGACCGGAAGTAGCCGTTAATTAGATTATGCCGTCCCTAATGTTTTCAAAAGCGTTGTAAGGTGGCGGCTTTAAATAAAACGCTAGTTTGAATATTGTTGCAAACTGGCCGTTTCGCGGGCTTTCAAACTATCGTTCCGATCCGATGTTTGTGCATCGAATTAGAGGACGGTGTTTTTATTGGGACAGTCCCTGGTCAATACAAAAGAATTAACATTACTCGCCTTACTTTTCAGTTTGCTCTTCACTCGGAAATTTACCTTGAAAGTTGGAGACCTGGGGATCAACAGGGATGCAGACGCGGGAACGCAGCACCTTGCGACGCCAGCTTATCTAGCGCCGGAACGGCGCTTGAACGGCAAGCCTGCCAGTAGAGAGGTTTCGATCGACAATTCAATCGGCATTTGATCGTTTTTAGGACCGATTCAAGCGAGACATTTATGCCGCCGGGCTTGTAATTTTGCAGATGATTAGGAGAAGGTGGATGATGGTTTTAGCCTTGAGATTTTTTTCCTTCAAAATTCCTATTCAGTTCGGAAATTACCTGCGTTTAGCAAAGAGCCGTCCGCGAATATTACCGACTCTCTAGATGATACACCGCAAGGGAAACTCGAAGCGGAAGCTAAAAGGTGAACTGGAAACCTTGGTCCCCACAGAAACTTTAGGTGTTTGGAGATTAAGTGCGAGCTGAGGCCAGATGCTATGCAAATGATGGCGGCTTTTTCAGCACTGGTAAGTCATCAAAGTTCTTTTTTGTTAATGCTTCGATAATACTGAAATGCCAGATTTTCTGATGCATTTCAGAGATTTCCTTTCGAGGAGGAGCCAGAATGGCGAGCCGGAAACATCATCCTCTACCGGGTCATCGGATTGGATGCAACCAAACAAGAAGTACCGATGGACACGGATCTTGACGCTCTCTACCTCATGCTAGCTCCCCCCGCCGCGGCGATGCTAAGCACTTCCACTGACTTTACATCAGACCGGGCGGCCGTTGAGAGGCATGCTACTCCCGAAGCCACAAACACCCAAGTGCGCCGACGGAGAACATACCCCAGGTTCGCATCTTGGCTCGATAAGCTGGACGCCGAGCCGGTCTTTGATGACGTCGTCCTCCTGTGCCCAAACATAGCCAAGGAGTTAGACCACACGATGCTGGGCCCGAAGATTCTCGCGGAGCCGTTCCGGTCCCTTATTCGAAATAACCATAACGCAAGGTTATTTTTTGAGCAGAGCGACCTGAACGCACAGCACTTGAGCCGATGGCGTCAAGATTTGATCAAAAAATTCAACGAAGGC